GCGTGCGTGCACATGTGTGCGTGCGCGTGTAAATGGCTGTCAAAACTCCCAAAACAGGGCAAGTAGCTCTGGGGAGGTCAGTCATAAATTAGAACATCTACTAAGCAACCGGCCATTAAACGAGGACCACTTATATTTGGTTTGCCAGTCACATGGCCACCTGGCCACACCCATCCAGTCACATGACCACTAAGCCATGCCCACAAATTAGGCCATACCCACAGAACCAGTTGGTAAGAAATTTGAATCCCACCCCTGGTGGCGGGGCACCGACGGTGAGTTTGTAGCACCAAGGGGCAGTGGACTGACAAAGTTTGGGAACCACAGTTTTATACTGTAATAAAATGTATACTGCCTATTTTCTGTTCATTTTCAGCGATATATGACAAAATATTACTTTCTCCATTTTTGCAAGGAATTGCCTATTTTATTGTAAAAAAAGGAGCAGATCCTTTAAGAATGTGTGAAGCCATTAAACATCTATCCAGTGCAGCTGTATAAATTAATTCAGAGGCTCTCATTCTCATCCCTTTTGCTGAATACAGATTAGTTGGTCCTTGCTTAACAATAGTAATCAGGACCGGAATTTCCATTGCTAAGCAATTTTATAACATGACATCATGTGACCACATCACTTGGCAATCCTGACGGTCCCCATTGCTGTTCTTAAGTGAGAATTGCAGGCCATTATGAAAAGACCTCCTTGCAACTTGCTGCTGGCTTCCAAAAACCTAAATCACTGGGGAACCCAGCAGGAAGATGCAAGTCCAAGGCGATTCGCAAGCAGACTGTCAGGCAGGTAAGTCGCTGTTGCCAGGCAGAAGAGGATATGTGGGTGATAGCAGCAGCATACTCAAATAATTTGAGGCCTGGGATTGGTTGTTACAGGATGGGTAAGACTTACTCGAGTGACTTGTGACCTTTTCTCCTGACTTCCCCATTGATTTTGCTTGTGGGAAGCCAGCAGGGAAGGTCATAAATAGTGATCTCATGACTGCTGGGCACTGCAACAACACTGCAAGTGCAAGCAGGTTGCTAGATTTCAATCCTATGACTGTGTGGATGGTATGGCCGCTATAACTTTGAGAACCAGTTGTAAATGCCGCGTATTTAGCACCGTTGCAACTTCAAACAATCACTGAATGAGTGGTCAGTATGTGAGAACTATCTGTATATATTAGAGAATTGGAATTAATACATTTTTTGTCTTCTAGAGTATATAGTAGCACTTTAGATAGGATATATTTGTTAGTATTTTGGTTTTAATGCACTTACATTATATAATATTTTGAGTGAAAATGAATGCCTGGCTTTTTCATGGATTAATTGATGGAGAGAAAGGTGTACCTTAATCTGATCTAGGGTTCTTTAGAAATTAAATACATTGAACTCAATAAAAAAAAATCACACCCCAATTAAAGAAGTTCTTGCCATCAAAAACCAGGCAAAATTAAAAACTAGTTGGTGCTTTTGGAATGATAACTTAGACAGGAATGTTGGGAGATTTTCAAAATTTATGTGAAATGACACCATTTTAAACAATAAAAAAAACTTAATAGATATTTTTGCTATTCAGACAGATGAACTTGCTGTATGTTGGGGACAATCAACTCAAAGAGATGAACAGATACCATTGTCCTCTGATGTATCACACTATGATCTCCAGGTGGAGATAGGTAATTGTTTTGTGATGGAAAGACGTTCCTATTTTGTCTTAAGTGAGAGACTAAAGAGTCTTTACTTGAACCGAAGATATGGACTAGAAATTTTATCCTTTGCCATATCCTGCCTGAAATATATATTAGTTCTATCTTTATTAATATTTGCTTGTATTTTACAACCTATTTCCATTTAACTTGTCTTGCCTTTGATTTAGTAAGTCTTTATATTGGTCTTTTTTTAAATTTATGGTAGCTTCGTAGTATAAGGATATTATCAAATTGTGCATGAATAATTGTTTTTCAGTTGCAATATCTATCACTTCTTTTTTAACCAGAAGAAAATACATGTTTGCATTCTTCTCTGTTGCCTCAGATCCTACATCAGTGAATAAGATGGGAATACTGTCTGTTCATGATGGTATTACACAAGCATCTTTGTATGTAACTAGCACATGGTGCTGGTAATTGGTGTGAAGATATTTATTATGCAAATGAGCTGCTTAAGATTTATTTTAAATGAACTTCAACTGGTAATCCCTATTAAAATACCAGTTTCAATTCTTATTTCATTTTTTGTACACTATTGACTTAAACATTTAGCATGCTATACCAATATTCATTGATCTGTTCTGAATATTTTGTAAATTTGTAAATTGATAGTCTATCATTTGATAGTCACCAGAGCATAATACAGGTTGTCCTTGGTTAAGAACAGCTTTGTTCAGTGACCATTGAAACTTATAAAGGTGCTGGAAAAAGTGGATTTTTGATTGGCCCTCAAACTTATGCCCATCATAGTATCTCCACAGTCACATGATCACAGTTTGGGTGCTTCACAATTGGCTTGCATTTATAACATCCCATGAGCTTCAAAGCTGGTTTCTGGGAAGCAGACTCAATGGGAAAGCCAGCAGTAAGTTGCAATTTGCATTCACATGACACTGTGTTTAATTACTGGGGATGATTCACTTAACAATTGCAGTGGAATTAACATAGTAACTCTTATGTGGCCATGTGAAGTTTCACTTAATGACTTGCTTAGCAACAGTTGCCAGTCCCAATTATGATAATTAAATGAGGACTACCTGTAATCCTCTTTTTAAAACAAAAAAAATGTTTCAACTAGGAAATAGCTTTCAGAATCAGATTGTTGTCTTCTAGTTCAAGTCAGATATTTATGCTTGTTTTGAAAGGTGTCCTTTTTCACAATTGTCCTAAGAATATTTTATTTATTTATATATCATCCATTATTGTATTATTTTATAAATTAATTTGAATGTTAAGTGGTATATGCCTGTTTCTTTGTAGGAAAAGGATGCAACAGCTTAACCTCAATCTACCTCGCCCGTCATATCCCAACAGGAACACTAGTGGCTGTAAGAATTACAGATCTGGAAAGATGTTCTGAAGAACTCTTAAAAGCTTTACAAGTAAACATAATTTTAAATTTGATATATAATGCTTGCAAGGTTATATAAGCTCTATGTAAGGTGATATATAATATCCCCATATTTGTAGTAATTCTAGATATGCAAAGAAATTCGGAAATATGCTCACGCAGAATTAGTTATAGCTTTCTCAAGTAATTTCAGTTTTATATTTCTGACATTATAATGAGCCATCTATTTTTTTTTCCTGATTCAGGGATTGTTTTCAGAACATGAGTGCCTTATGATGAGCTAGGCTAAGAAGAAAGCTAACTGGGTGACCTTGGGCCAGTCACTCTCAGCCCTAGGAAACAGGCAAGATTAAACCACTTTCAAAAAACCTTGCCAAGAAACGTCAGGGACTAGTCCAGGCAGTCATCAGGAGTCAACTGACTTGAAGGCACACACACCTATGGCTAAAACAGTATGGAATATTTCCCGTCTTTTAGATTATTAAAACATTTATTTATTTCTCTAGAATGAGGTGATATTATCCCACTTTTTCCGACATCCACATATCTTGACTTTTTGGGCAGTGTTTACTGCTGGAAGATGGCTTTGGGTTATTTCTCCTTTTATGGCTTACAGTAAGTAACTCTGTTTACAAAAATATATCCTTATTTATTAAATTCCTTCTGCCCATACAGAGCAATTCAGCTTATTGGTACCTAGTTTGTGGAATAGTTATACTTCCAAGTGAGATAATTACTTAAAGAGGACTATTGGGAGTATTTTTTAAAAACAGGGAATTGCTTCAGTTGTGGGCTTTAGAGGCCAGTGCTAATATGATCATGTACATCTGTAATTTTTGTCCAGGAGCTCCTGAGCTTTTTTTGAAACATTGCAAAAGATCAATTAATTTGATCATTCTGATTATGGTAGAAAATATCTGGGCCAGCCCTGACCTTCCTATATTTATAAGGATATTATGAGGAGTTACTACTAAACCTTGGACTCTTTTTTTTTTTTTTTTTTTTAGATTCAGCCAGTTGTCTCTTGAGGACTTACTTCCCTGAAGGCATGAGTGAAGCTTTGATAGGAAATATCCTCTTTGGTGCAATTAGTGGATTGAACTATATGCATCAACATGGTTATATTCACAGGTAATATGAAAGAACTTCATTGGAATCCATCCAATGATTTCAGCTGAAGCTTAAAAAGTTATGTGATTATTTTATTTTATTTATTTTCTTTTAGTAGCATTCTCTGATTAAGATGTATATTGTTACCAAGTATAACAATATATATTTTCATTTCTCATTCTCAGATGGAATTCCAAAATGCTTTAATATATATTAAACTTCCACAAATATTCCAATTATTTTAATATATTGTGTTGAGTATATTAAAATATGAATCTTGAATTGCTAGTCCATGGAATTTTCTGATGAGATGCATGAGTTCCTTCCCTTGGCCTCTAATTGTTAACTCTTAAATTTTAAAAAATATTTGAAGTTTCTAAATATATTTTGAAGAAATGGTACAACAAAAGATAGGACAAAAGGAAAACTTGAGCCATCTGTAAGAGCAATAGCCATAGCACGTAGACTTATGTACTGTTTCACAGTCCTTTACAGCCCTCTCTAAGCTACTTACAGAGTTGGAGTATAGCTAAATGATCTCTTTGAATTGTACAGTTGTTTACAGTGAAGTAATTTGGACGTGTTAAAATATGTAACTTCTGCTTTATAAGGTCTTACATTACCTTACATTATAGAGTTCTAGTAGGTACCCTCAGATGTAAAATGAATATGTTGAGAAGCGAGATCCCTATATGTGGAAAACAAATGTACAAATAAAAAGCATATAATACAATTCTTATAGCCTTATTAAAATTAGAACTCATGCAATACTGTTTAAACTTGCATTTTTTTTAAAAAGGGAGGATCACCAAACTCATTTTGCTATCAAATATTTAGACTCAAAATCTGATTTGCGGGGGGAGAGAAGAGAATTAGGAAAAAATGTGAAAAAATGGATCACATTAAATTGGAACAATTCCCTTATGTTGCACTGACCAAGGGATAACTCATACACATTTCACATTGTGGGCTTTTTAAAAATCTTCCTCAGTCCTAGAAACATTGAGGGCTATAAGCTGGCTACCATACAGTAACTCACGAACCTTTTCTATTTCACTCTAGCCTAGCCCATCTAGTCTCTCTCCATTTTCTCTCTATGCATGTAACTGTAAGTTGAATCTTTGGGTGTTTAGTTAGGAAGGCTTTGTGGGATGAATTCAGCCCCCAAGCCACTTCATAACCCCAGGCTTGCGGAGAAGTAGAATGAGAAAGAGTTGGTACCTTCTTGGGCTGAGGCCTATTTCATGGATCATTTGAAATTGTCACTTCAAATCAAGGCATCTTTTATATTGTCAGCATTTTTTTCTAGATATATCTTCACAGACTGAAATCTGCTATTTATTAATCAAGAGTAATTCTTAACTAAATTCAAGAATAACAAGAACATAAGCAGTATGCCTCAATTCTCTTTCTGATGCAATAAAGAACAGTATAACCTTTAAGCTATCAAAAATATTATAGCTATTGAAAAGAAACAAACCAACGTATGTGATATATCGGAATCTTAATATGTATTTAATAGGATAGTCTTTCTAGCAAGACAATTGGGTTTTATTAATTTGTTTGTTTGCATTTCAGAAGTATTAAAGCTAGCCACATATTGATTTCAGGGGATGGCCTAGTTTATTTGTCGGGCTTAAATCACCTCTATAGTTTAGTCAACAGTGGACAACAGTTAAAAGCTGTGTATGACTTCCCCCAGTTCAGTACATCTATGCTTCCTTGGCTGAGTCCTGAACTACTAAGGCAGGTCAGTATATATTAGATTGCATTGTCAATGTGCTTTCCTGCTATATATACTGCCTCAGAAATTCATTAAGTATTCTGCACCCTAAAAATAATCTTAATTACGTTGTTTACATTCTTTATAATTTTTTAAACATTAGCATTTAATGTTTTATCTAAAACTATGTATGCACTACAGATATATTGTGATTCCAAGATGTATATTCCATATTGTTTAGAATGGTATCTCTGAATCCGTATATTCCCATGTATCGCTGAAAATTAGGAAGCCTATTGTTATATGTACATAGTAAAATAGTTGTTTTTAATTCCTCTATTTCTGTTGACAAATATATTTTTAGCATTTATTTCCAGCAGAATTTAATTTCCAGTATTCTGGAAAACAAATAAATTTATTGTAGTAATTGAGATGGTCATAAAACCCTTAACACTATCATTATCATATTAAGATTCTTCTATCCAAAGACTTAAAATCTATTTCCTTTATTTCTTTTTCCTTTTCATCATATATATGGAAGAAATTTCCATTTAAAATAGGTGCTTTCCATAGGATCTGTCTATATTCATTTATACATTTTAAATACCTAATATAAGATCCATATATATTGTATGGGCACAATCATGTACACACACATCTAAATGTAAAATACTCTGTCTGAATCAATTCACTTCTGGATGAAGTCCTCTTCACTGAAAGTTTTACATTGCAATATAGTATATCAGTCCAGTTATGGATCAATATTTTTACTTCTCAATCTATATATAATTGTATTATTAAGAGATATTTTAAAATATTTTCCTATTTATGGAAATACTTCATTTTCATTTTCCTAATTGTAGCCCAACACACATTGTCAACATTTGTTCCAGATTTGGGAGAAAGACTATTATTTGGAAAGACCAAATAAAACCAAAAAATATTAAAAAGTTATGATATTTATGTAGTTACTTACCAAGCACATCTAAATTAAAGTAACCGAAATATCTTTACAGTCCCCAAGGCACGTCACAATTTTGGAGCATTGCTAATGATTGGAACTGAATGTTGAAAAATTTGACACTCCCTTTCTGTGTTAAGAATTCTTTTTTTAAAAATTAATGTTCAATTGTTTTATTTGATTCATCTTGAGAAAGCAGTATAAAACTAATTTTATTTTTTTATATCTAGAATGTAAAGTATTCAAAAACACAGTTTTTCCATCTGTATTGATATCAAATATTTTGATGGAAATACAAGAACAAATACATGAATATTTTTAATTAAAATGGCTTTAATGATAATTTGATTTATTGTGGTATTGATATAGTTTACATCTGAAATCATGAATTCCTTGAACACGAAGATAACTTTTGTGAAATTGTATGTCATTGATATTTAAAATAGTTGAATAGTGTACAGCCTAATTGTATACTGTTTTATTTAAGTTAGACTAACTTATTCTATATGTACAAATAATAGAATTGTACAGGACATGTTTAAATATTTCTCATCCATTTCCTATATGCATTGACAACCTTTGAACAATTGAATTTGCCTGATAAGTGTTTTCTTCTATAGGATACGCATGGATATAATGTGAAATCTGACATCTATAGTGTGGGCATTACAGCTTGTGAACTAGCTAATGGGCATGTACCTTTTCAGGAAATGCCTCGCACACAGGTAAAGCACAAAATCCCTAGATTAGGTTCTTAAGAACCAATTGAATAACTGTTACTGTCAAGAGCATAAGACAGTGATGGCTAACTTTTTTAGCACTGAGTGCCCAAAGCATGTGAGCACAAACCTCCAAAATGCAATGTGCGTGCGTCCCCCCCACATGCGCCCCCCCACATGTGCACGCATCCCCATGTATTCCCCCTGTTCCCATGTATGCGCCCCTGCACATGCGTGCTCCCCCACTTGCACCCCCTGCATGCGCAGTAGAGACCCGAAGACCAGCTGGCCAATGGGAGGCACATGCGCATGCCCGGCAGAGCTGAGCTGGGGCAACAGCTCGCATGCCCGCAGAGAGGGCTCTGTGTGCCACTTCTGGCATGCGTGCCATAGGTTCACCATTACAGGCATAAGGCATCTCTTAATTTTGAAATTTTATGTCCCTAAAGTTTAAATTCTCTCTTAAGAAGTTTAATTCTGAGTAAATTTGGTTTGGTTGTAATGATTTCTCATTTAAGTTGACTGTTTACTTGGTTCGTGCAAAGACGAGTCCATTAAGCATTGGTCTTGAGCATTTGTTAAACTGCCCTTCCTTGGCAGCAAAGTAGTAGGTCATCTACCAATGGAATACCAGTGGAACAGTCTGCCTTCAGAAGTTGTGGGTGCTTCATGACTGGAGGTCTAAGAAGAGACTGGGCATCCACTTGTCTGAAATGGTATAGGGTCTGCTGCTTGAGCAGGGGGTTCGACTAGAAGACCTCCAAGGTCCCTTCTATTCTGACTGACTGGAGTTTAATTCCCAATGAATGCTAAATTGTAGGAAAGGATAAAGTGGCATGTTTTATAACTTTCTGATAAATACTTTTGCAAAACCTTATTATTTAATGCAGCCACAATGTACTATTTTTATGTAAACTAAGACATTGGACATTTTGCATTCATTTAGTCATGGTATTTCTCTGCCACTGTTGCAAAATGACTCCAGTATTTTCTATCTCTTTCTATCAGATGCTGCTGCAAAAACTTAAAGGTCCATCTTACTGTCCTTGGGCTATAAACACTTTTTCATGTGGAGAATCTAGGATAAAAAATTCTCAGTCGGGAATTGATTCTGGAATTGGGGAAAGCATGACACGCACGATGACAAGTGAGAGACTACAGACTCCATCTAAAACTTTCTCTCCTGCTTTCCATAATTTGATAGAATTGTGTTTGCATCAGGACCCAGAACAAAGGTAATGCTTTAAAATAATGTGCAAATTTGAGTTTAATTATTTTAAACTGAAATTAGAGCTGTTTTGAAAGCCTAATTTATATATGAATATCATACAGTATTACCAAATTATAATTGTCAACAGGACATCCATGATTATCCATAATTATCAGATGACCCATAGTATCTCCAGATGGCAACCAAATAATAATAATTATAATTATAATTATAATAATAATATTTAAAACAAGAATTTAAAATGTCTGAAATTTCATGAAATTATCAATTTTTGAAATATTTTACTATTCTCATGTAAGTGTTCAGACATTTTAAAAGTCATTTTTACATATGTAGTCTCAGGTTGTTTTTTATGCTAAGATTGCTGAGCCCTTAAGGAGTAATATATGAAAAAATATATGAGTAGATGATTTAACCTACATCTTTCATTCTCCATGCTGAGAGGAATTAATGAGAGCTGGAAAAAATAGATGAACATTTAGAGAGGAACATTTTTTTCTACCCATGACATATGTAGCACCTTAAGTATTTTAAACTATCTTTTATTGAGACAGTAATATTTATGTTTTAGTATGTACTGCTGTGTCAGTTAAAAGGTGTTGATAAAACTATTCATTTTTAATTAGTGTTACAAATTTGAAACTTCATATTTAAAGACCTTGAAAAATATATTTGTAGTATTTTATTTTTAAACTATTAATCATTGTAACAAAGATATGTGGGTGGAATAATTAAAATGGGGAAAATACTGATTCTTCTTTCAATCAACTGATTTTGTAAAAATTGCAAGAGAGTGGAAGTAATTACCAGCTGTTTTGCAAAAGTTAAAAATCTGTTTTTTCCTTCTGGGATATAGGCCATCAGCAAGAGGCCTTCTGTCACATGCTTTTTTCAAGCAGGTGAGTTTTGTTAGATATGCTAGCTGCATAAAATCACTAAGGCTTTGGGTCTAGAAAACAGGTCGGGTGCTGGAAGCTGCAACATCTTTGACTTGAACAGGAGATATTGGTGTGGAGCAGTTTGAGTTTAATATAAAAATTTATACACTGGTGAAACAACGTATTATGCCAAGTGTGATTTGTGTAATAGGCGGTGTCCACTTGTAAGTCCTGTTTAAAATTAAGGTGTTGGCTTTCTGATTTTGATTGGTGAGTTTGATTGGTTATAGAATTGCAATTTAGAGTCTGCAACTTATTTGTTCCAGCTCTTAGTTTTATTTTAAAGAATCATATCCGTGGTAGTTATACTTATATTTGCTTGCCTTGCCCCATCCGCAGAACTGAGAAAGCTGTTGGCATAAACACAGCTATTCTATAGAAACCAGCAATGCTTCTTTCTTTTGAAACACATACCGTAGTTAGGTACAGAGGTGGGTTTGGACCAGGTTGGGCCAACCAGATGTTAAATTTATATCTGGTTCGCCGAACCGGTAGTTAAACCGTCTGGCCCTGCCTACCTCACCCCTCTCCTCCCATGAGTCTCCATATACCTCGTTTTGGATGCAGGTAAGTGCAGGATCTGTGAGGAGGCTCTGGGAGAGCAAAAAACTAGCCTTCTGGAAGTCCAGAAACAGGCCTCTTTTTTTGGCTTCTGGAGGGTCTCTGGACCCAGGGGGAGGCCATTTTCGCCCTCCCAGAGGCCCGAGGGAAGCTTCCGGACCCTGGGGAAGGTGAAAAACAGCCTTCCCAGGTCCGGAAACGGGTCTGTTTCTGGCTTCTGAGCCTCTGGACCCTGGGGGAGATCGTTTTCCCCCTCCCAGAGGCCCGAGGGAAGCCTCCAGATCCTGGGGGAAGGTAATAAAAAACAGCTGTCCCAGACGTTTCAGTAGGCCATGCCCACCATGGCCATGCCCACTCAACAACCAGGCAGCGAACCGGTTGCTGGGATTTTTGAATCCCACCCCTTGTTGGGATTATACAGAATGTTAATGACAAGTATGCCTATTTTATAAAATGTGTTTACGTTGGAATTCCACTACCATAAAATGATTCTTCATTACAAATATGCAATTATTCTGGGAAAGGGGAAAGGAGAGGGCTTATAGCCTAATTCTGGACATACACAATATTACTATATTGCTAATTATAAAAACGCAAGCACCATGGATAATATTCAGTATCACAAGAGCTCAACTGTGATTGTGCAACATAGTATTTAAATTCCTTTTTCTTGCCTAGTCCTCACCCCATCCCCATTATGTAAGGGGTCATTCACATATCTACTGTTAGGATGTTACTCCATACATTTTGTTCAACATAAGAGTTTCCTTTTCACCTCAACCTTTGTTAGCAATTAAGGACAATATAGTTTGCATATATTCTGCAGTATGGATTTTTTGTATCTTTTTGCATAAATGAATTATAATTAATATTCTGTCTTTCACTCCAGGGATCAAGGTAGCCTATGTAACACTCTTACCTCTATTTTTCATTAAATGCAATTATTTACATTCAGGGGAAGGGAGGTAAGCATAAACGTTGGCTAAAGCAGTGGTTCTTAAATTATTTGATCCAATTACTGATTTTTCTTGTCTTAAATGTCATTATCTCCACAAAAAATGCCATACCCCATGGTTTTACACAAGAATCTTGGCAGTGGCAGCCCAAGATTCATCCTTGATTCAAAAAAAGTAATTACAAATTTCCTTATTGAGGATATATACAAATTATCCCCCAGTTTAAGAACCACTGAATTAAAGAATGGCCATTCTTTAATTGAATTTATTTGAATTTATAATGAAATTGCCATCTTTAATAGGGCCTATTGAATGACCTATCTGTAAGAAGCCCTTGATTTTCATAGTCTTTATTAGGAATCACTGTTTCTATGAGCTTAGTTATTAGCAATAACATTTGGGCAACAAGAACTTGAATTATATTTCCATAAACCTCTGAGAAGGTATTCATAATTGTTTTAATAGATGTGTAATGTAAAGTCATTATTCTAATGACTGCCTTCTCAATTTTCAGGTGAAAGAAGAAACAAAGGGTTCATTACTTTCACTCTTGCCTCCTACCATCCAACATAGTCAGTCACAAATACCAATGGTGCATTCAGCTGCTATCTGGAATAAATCTGAATGTAGGTTGCCAAATGAGAAAAAGATATACTGGGAATTTTAGGAATACTAAGACCACATACAGGTGGTCCTTAATTTAAAACCATTCATTCAATGACCATTCAAAATTACAACAGAACTGAAAAAAATGACTTATGGTCCTTGCACTTGCAATTGTTGCATCCGCCTCCTGGTCATGTGATTGCCATTTGTGACCTTCCCAATGAGCTTCTGACAAACAAAGTCAGTGGGGGAAGCCAGATAACTATAGTTGTTCATTTAACAACCATAGCAAAAAAAAAAAAAGTCATTAAATTGGGCATTTGACTTAACAACTGCCTTGCTTAGCAGTGAAAATTCTGGTCCTAATTGTGGTCAAGGATTCCTATACTTCTTTGGAAGATAATGTGATTTACCTGCTGCTTTTGTTCAAAGTTTTTGTTTTGGTATACTTGAAAATGCTAAAGGTTTATACAGATGATGTTATACAGAGGTTTTTTTTCAAAGTGGTATGAGAATCTACTAACTGAATTGCAAAAATATCTATACAATTCTTTATATCTTTTTTATATCTGAACTGTAATAGTAAAACTTTGCTTGCAGTGGCATATGCTATTACAGTACTTACATGCTATTACTACCTTTCCAATATTAATCTGAAATATTGTTTCCATTCTTTATTTAATACATTGTGTTAATCATCTCTTTATCATCAAGTTTATATCAACTATATAGCTTCTTTAAAATATAGTGTCTTTTCCTAGTTGCAAAAGTATCAATGTGGAAATCTCTGAGACTGCTGGATATCTACTACATAATTTTCGGTGGTTGTTGAAGTAGCCAACACTGTAACTTGAAAAAAAAAGCTGTTTTTAACAGAACATATGTCTTTGAGAGATCAAATTAAGGAAAAAATAATTTGCCAAATAAAAGCTTGAAATTACTTGACTATATACTTAAGAATATTGTTTAATTTTCATAGCTTTAATTGTGGTCTGCTGTTCAGGAAATATATTCATCCTTTGAATAGAAGTAGCCAAAATTTGAACCAAAATTTGTAGGACTGATATAAAAGAGATCTCTATTATTTAGGCAAAGTGACTATTAGCACACTATGACAACCTATATTGTGGAAGGCTTTGAGTTGTGTTCAGTGGTGTCATTCCACTGAAATACAAGCATCTATCAATGGATTGTGATTCATAGCCCATTTCCTTTCCAGTTCTTAGCTCCAGGGTCAGTGAAAGAAAGAGAGGCCTGGTTAATATTACTTATAGCTGTGATGGCGAACCTATGGCACATGTGCCAGAGGTGGCACACAGAGCCCTCTCTGCAGGCATGCAAGCTGTCTCCCCAGCTCAGCTCCGCTACGCATGTGCGTGTGCCTCCCGCCGGCCAGCTGGTCTTTGGGTCTCTGCTGTGCATGCGGGGGGGGGGGGGGGGGGCGGGGGGCAGGGGGCAGGGGGCGCATGTGTGGTGGGCACGGGGGTAGGGTGCATGTGTGGGGAATGCGTGCACATTCGTGGGGTGGGGAGCGTGCGTGGGAGACGCACGTGCATTGCACTTTGGGGGTTTGTGCACGCTTTGGGCACTCAGTACTGAAAAGCTTAGCCGTCACTGGCTCAGACATTTGGTGGGGGAAAGGTGACTTCTAACTCATCATTTTGTCTTCGTAGCTTTTCTCTTCTGGAGAAGTTCAGTCCTAATTACAATATAAATGAACGGGGAAAAAGGCTGCTTTCTGTGAATAGTACTGTGAATAATTGAATAAAGTAAAACTAAATTCTTATTACCTGTACAGCATACTTTTGGAGATTAATATTATTTTATTAATGATTTTTCAATCATGTACATTCTATTTACTCGTGTAAAAATAGAAATTAGTTTTAAGTATACAACCTTATTTAGCATCGCAGTTGACCTTTTAACTAGGAAACTACTGAAGGAAAATTATGTATTGTCAACCTAATTCTGACAAATTTAATTGTAATAAAATATTATTTAACAAAGATAATTTGAGTGAATGGCACCTTATTTCATGCTCATCAATAGGAGAATATACAATACCTAGCACTGTAATTTGGAAGCCCTATTGTGCTTCTGGAGAAAACTGTGCTGTATTTGTCAGGGAGTTCTAAAACAAAGAATACATATAGAATTTAGTGAAAAAAATTACCAATGTTTTGCTCTATCAAGAAATGTTTATCTTTGTGAGGAATAATCATGATAATTTGTACCATAAGGATACTTTGAAACTTTGAACTTTATGCTAAATCATGTATTTTGTATGGGTGGTCCTTGATTTATGACTAGTCACTTAGCAATTGTTTGCAGTTACAAGAATGCCTGCAAAGCTGCTTACAATCCAATTTTGAGGTTATGATGGTACAACTCACACACACTCATATATCCACAGAGTCATGTGATAGCATTTTGGGTGCTTAGCAATTGGTTCATCTTTACTGCCATTACTGACAGTATCTTGCTGTCACACGACTAGGATTTTTGATGGTTTTTGCCAATTTCCAGTGTTTATTTCAAATTCCAGCAAAAAAGCCCACTAGGGAAAAAACAAGGCTTCAAAAGCAGGGTTTACAGTTGTAGTATTTGTTTAACAATTGCCAAAGAAAATGCTGAAAAATCAGGTTCAATGCTTCAATTTACAACTACCATTTTACAATTCTGCACTCAGTTATGCTTGTAAATTGAGTAGATATTTTTGTCTTAAATGGTTACATTTAATTAATTAAATGAGCTTACAGCAAAAAATTTAAATCTGTTTCCAACTTCAAAATTGGAATTAGTACATTATTTCTTATTTCTTCATTCATGATCAATCTGGATCGATCAGCATTCTTAACAATTTTCCCCCTACGTTCAATACTTTGTATTAAAATACTTTTTTGTGAAAAACAGGTTTGCTCCTAAAAGTACACTATCTTGTCAATTTGTAAATACATCATAAAAGTCACCGTTTTCATTTATCACTTCAACATGATACACAAATTCCTCCTTGAAGTCATAAATAACTGAAAACTAGTTTTGTTCTAAATCTAACCATATATTTCAGTCACAAGCAACTATTTTAGGAGTAACTAAATTGATTTTTTTGATGACCCCTTTGCAGAATAGGAAACAAATTTGGTGTTCACTTTTGGGACATAAAGAGTGTCTAAAACCTTTCCTGGTAGTTTCTTTTCTTGTGACATTTAGTTTGACTTATAGGTCATTTTAATTCTTTTATGTAGTTTAAAGTCTTTTTAATGGTGTGAATTGTTATGGATTAACTTCCATTTCATTATAGATCTTTAAAGAATATGCATACAATTTAATCAAGATGAGGGAAGAGAAAATAGAGGAAAGGGGAGTCAGCGAGAAATTACATGCAATAAAGAAACTGCCAATTATATAGAACCACACAGGAAAAGTCATTTCAGTGAACATTAACAACTTGTTAATCTTAACTGAGTAGTCATTCAAACATTCAGCACATAGGCTTTGAGTCTATAGATTAACCTTCAAAAACTTTGGTGAGCTCCCCACCACCACCTTTCTATTCAGGCATAGCAATAGCACTTATATAGTTTCTTGGTGCTGTACAGCCCCTAAGCAGTTTACAATGTCAGTATACTGACAATCTGGGTTCTCATTTTAATCTCGGAAGAATGGAAGGCTGCGTCAACCTCATGCCTCATCAAGATTAAACTCCTGGCTGAGTTAGCTTGCAACATTACATTCTAACCACTGCGTAACCACAGCATGTTCCTACTGAACACAACTGTCAATCCTTGATTCTCAGGCCACATTGTGACTTATTAAGAGTAGTGAGAAGGTGTTGTGGCAGAGAGAAAGAAGTAATGCACAACAAAAACCATCTGAAGAATCAGATGATACATGTGCTGTCCTGTGTGATTGGGGATGGCATATATTATATGATGCTTTCCCATCAGTCTTGATTACTGGTGAATACAAGTACATACATTTTTCTGGGCAATATTTTGCACAACTGGTTTGCCTTACCTTCTTTCCAGGGCTGAGAGTGACTGGCCCCAAGTCATCCACTTGGTTTTTTATTTAAGCCAGGAGTAGAACAGTCTTCTACTGGTAGTGTCTATCCCAATGCTTTTAACCATTATATGAAATAAACTCTCGAATGACAAATACGCTCCAGCAAATAAGTAAATAAGCAGCTTCTGTTTTTTTATTATAGTTTCTGTCCATCGGACTTAAGAGGACAACAGCAAATTTAGCTGCTGGAGATAAAATTTAAGAATTGCCACTCTTAGGAAGGTATCTCCTTTAGTTCACATATTTTTATTTATTAGATTTTTACCCTGCTTTCATTATTTTATAAATAACTCAAGGAAACAAATATACCTAATACTCCTCCCTCCTCTTTTCCCCCCACAACAATTCCTCACAGGATTCTTCTGGAGAAAAAGGAGGAAGGAATATTGGGTATGCTCACCACTTTGATTATAAAAGCAGGGGAGAGGGGAGCATTCATTACCATGGAGTCAGATATAATCAGTATTTTAATATTAAACATTTTACAACTTGGGCTGAATAGGTGATGTGAAAGTCCTAGAAGTTTTTAGAATCTGAATGAGGAGGAATAAGTTTAGATGGTAATCCTAGTCAGATGGTTTTGAACTAATTTTGTTTTGGAAGACATCCAATTCTAAGAATATTCCATCTTTGCTTCTGGCCATCAGGAGGTTATGCTTTCGCATACTAAGCTACCTCATAGTGCAAACTTGCAGTTTCTACTCAGACAGTAGGTGTGGATGTGGCCAAGGGGGGGGGGGGTGATGTATACATCCATCTGATATGCCATATAGACACATTTATAGACGGTGCTTATGTAATTTCCTTAGTGCCAGCAACAATTGGAATGGCATGTTATAAGGCAAATATTGCAGAATTAAAAACCTATTATCTTGATTCAAACAATAACTGAGCAAATAAAATTTGATTAAAGACCATAATATAGGAGTTCCATGTTGGAATCTTAAAACAATAATGTCTTAGCATCCTGAATCAATGAAAAGATTCATAAAAGTT